CTCCACAACCTCGCCAGCATTTGTTATTTTCTGTCTTGTTGAACTTTGCTACTAGTGCTGGAGCAAGATGGTATCTCATTGTTGTTTTGATTTGGTTCTGCACCATCTTCACGGTCACTGGGATGCTTGAGTCCATTGTTGTGGCCTCGGTGTGCTCTGAGCACCTTCCAACCGGGGGTCTCACCTTTCAGCACTGTATCGTGGGACCATGTTCTGTTGGGATCCATAGGGTTTTCACTGGTTGATTTTCACAAATAGATCGCCAGACCTTTCTTCCTAGTCTCTTTCTTCCTGTTGCCATGGACAACAACTTCTATCCTTTCATTTCTTCTGCTACTGGAAATATTTCTCCACTACAGGTGGAATGGTGGGGGCTTAGTGCAAGCCCACCAGTGGCAATGCTGTCCACCCACCAGGTGGGGGGGAGAGGAGGGGCAAGGGCCCCTCCACCCACACATCCATTCAGCAGGCCTGCCATCACTGTCCCCTCCACAACACTTCATAAATTATTTTCTTATTCACTAGCTTGTCTGTCTTTCTCACCCGACTTGACTATGAGCCTCAGCAGAGCAGGGATGACTCTCTCGTTCACTGCTGACAGAACCCAGGCCTCAGACGGTGCCTGGCACCCAGACGTGCTCCACAGGTACTTGATCAGGTGAAGGAAGCAGCTGAGAAGGGAGCCGGGGTCTCTCCCCACCTCACCCCTGCCCCCACCTGAGTCACATTTCTGAGGCTTCTGGAAAGTGTGAGACAGGGCATGAGGGAGCAGGAGCCGGGAGTGAGGGGACAGGAAGGAGCAGAGAGCATGTGGGGAAAAGAATGAGGCTGAACCCCCATTTTAAAGGTAGCTGGGCCCTCGAGCACTGTCTGCAGTGCGCGAAGCATCCGGGCGTTAGGCAATCGCGACTTCCTCCCAGCCTGCAAGACCTAGCGCGCCAGCCCTTCCCCAGGCATCTTGGGGCCTCGGCCGCCGGGGCATGGAGAACACAGCTGTGCGGCCTTCGGTGTTCGTGGTGGACGGACAGACGGACATCCCATTCAGGAGGCTGGGGCGTGGCTGCCAGAGACAGGCCTTCAGCGCTGCCAGGCTGGGCCTGGGCCTCCTCCTGCTGCTGCTGGGCACCGGGCTGGCCGTGCAGGGCTGGTTCCTGCTGCAGCTGCACCGGCGGCTGGAGGAGATGGGCGCCCGCCTGCCTGTGAGTGGGTCTGGGGCTCGCTGCGGGAGGCAGAGGGTGTCCCCTGCGTCCCTGTACATCTCCGTGTGTGGGTGCACAGGAAGGGGGTGCACTAAGCATGTCCACCTCACTCCTGGCTCTCTGGAAGCCCAGGACAGGTTGACTCACCTCTCTGAGCCTCAGTTTCATCATCTGTGAAGCGGGGATGATAATAAGGGTGCCCGAGTTGA